ATAGCGTCAAAGCATGGCGTGACATGAGGTACCATAAGAAGCATGACATGAAGTGTGGGATGATGTGCGGGGATTATTTTAGGCAGTCCTGAATGAATTACATGAGCGCGGGATCTTGAAGGATGACAGTCTAAAACATACTTGTGGTGAGAGGCTTTGATGGCTGCAACCTTGGCCTTCTTCTCAGCAACACGCTTTTGCATAAGGGCACTAATGGAGAGATTACTATGGCGGACCGGGTTTCGTGCGGACTACATCACTTACTCGTATTCTGCCTTCTGCTCCTTCTGGCGGTCGATCCGGCGACGGTTAAGAGAACGGAGGTGACGGCGGCGTTGGAGACGGATGGGAGTGACCAATCTTTGGATTTTGGGTCTGGATAAGGAGAAAACATCAGCCTCCCTAAAAAAACGAGATGACGGTATACTGACGCCTTGGTGTAAGGTTTGGCATTCTCCTTCTTCGAGCTCTTCACCTCACGCCTCACAACGTACTTCCTGACATCGTCCTCCTTCGACAAGTTGAAGAACCTTCTGATCTTTGTTGCCCTTTTAGGACCAAGTCGCTGGGCAGAACGGTGTCGGTGAGCCCAGGGATATCATTATCGCCCTGTTTAACGATGACGACGGAGAGGACGGCAATGTCAGGACCGACGATACAACCACGGACAGACTTGCGCTTCCTCTCGCCTGAGCGGCTTGCACGGTAGCAAGAGTGGTTGTCGGTCAAGAGAAGTCTGACACGGTTGGGGAGCAGGACGCCCTGCATCATGGGGAAACCCTGCTTGTCGTTACCACCGGTGACACGGAGAATGTAACCCTTCCATTCGTCTCCAAGGGTGTCTGCCTCGACCTCTTGCGAGATCTTCTTGTCGAAGAAGATACGGCTAGTTTCAAGAACTTTGGTTAGTTTTCATAGAAAGAGTTGTGCCAATCGTACAATCTTCTCTCGTCGTCAATGTTAATGGTCTTTTGAGCCCCAGTGGCGGGGTCTGGATCGAACGTCAGTTTAAACTGTATTGAACATGTTGGACATTGAACGCACTGGCAATATTGATCTTCATACTACCCGCAGAGAATGAATGATTAACACGAGCTCAAAATTAATATCAACGTCAAGAGTTCACCTTACGAAAGGGAAAAAGGCCTTGTCACCGTGGGCTGCAGCGACGAGGAGGAGTCTTGATCTTGCTGGTTAGCCTGGGCCTTGTGTTCAACAGTGGCACATTCCGGCTTGTGGCTGAAGTGGAAAATAAAGTTTGCTACTATACAGTTGCTAAGCCACATACTGACTTGTCACGCGTTACATCACCTTTCTGTGAACGCGTCCAACGACACTCAAGACATCCTCTCCGTCAACAAAAACTGTGAGCGTTCTGCAAAGTAGTATTGTTCAAAGCTGACCAGATGGTTTAGATTCATCATGGGTCGTATGCACGCTCCCGGCAAGGGCATTTGTGCGTAGCAAAATGTTCTCTATTGATACATAGGATCCGTTCTGATCATCTTCATCTTCATCAGCGTCCTCTGCCCTTCCTTACAAGCGTTCCCCTCCTTCGTGGCTCAAGACTACGCCCGATGAAGTCGTCGAGCACATCATGAAATTGGCCCGCAAGGGTCTCACTCCCTCGCAGATCGGTGTTACCCTCCGTGATTCGCACGGTATCCCTCAAGTGCGCTTCGTCACTGGTAACAAAATCCTCCGTATCCTCAAATCCAACGGTGCGTGCTTTATCGACCAATTACTTCGCCAAACACTCACATGCTGAACCGCCATCTGCCTCGTTGCCGTGCATTTCTGCTACTGCATCTTGTTTGTACATGCCTTTTGTTTGGGGATAGGATTGGCACCATCCATCCCAGAGGACCTTTGGCACCTCGTCAAAAAGGCGGTGGCCGTGCGCAAGCACCTTGAAGTCAACCGCAAAGACAAAGACTCCAAGTTCCGTCTTATCTTGATCGAGTCTCGCATTCACCGTCTTGCTCGCTACTACAAGACAAAGCAGCAGATTCCTCCTACGTTCAAGTATGACTCTGCTACTGCTTCCACTTTGATTGCGTGAGCGGTAGTTGGGCTTTGGCGTGCAGTGGCTGGTTGGGCAGATCATACCCGTATATTATGGTACAATCCTTTCACCGATAAGTCATACGAAAAAATTAGGCTTATGCACAACTATGCGCAAATGTCCGTGTTCGTGATTAAGGAGATCATGATTTCAGAGCTCAAGTTGTTCTTGGTATATCGTCATCCACCAGCTCCAAGAATGCAGACAGTTAGCTGACGAACCCTTGGTGGTGCTCAACCCTCAGTGCTTTCAAACGTAGTTCCTCAATTTAATGTAGGCAGCACATAAGTACAATCTTGATGGAGCCCTCTTGCAGTGATGCGGTAGATTTATCATCCAGACAACGCAGTTTTAAGCACCTGTGACCCCCACGTACTGCCTCTAATTAGACGTGATTATGGATAGGGTTAGCACGTCTAAAATGACGGACTTACAGCGTTTCTAAGCCTCCTCCAATATCTCTTGGTTAAAGACTGACTTATAATAAAAGCAAACAGCTGTAGCCTTATGTAAGCTGGCGTGAGACATCGGCTCTAACGCAGGTAATGTTCCTGACGTCGGCTATTCTGCGCCTGCCGTGCGAACCTTCGTGCTCGCTGTCATATACGATGAGCACAATATTTCAAACATATCAGAGGCGCGTTTTGACATAGTGACAGCTACTGATCATACAAATATTTATGATATATATGGAAGGGTAGCAGGGTGCCCTACTCTCCCTCGCCCTCATCCTCAGATGACATGACAAACTCTGAACTTTTGGTGTCCTCCTGATGCTGGGTGCTGGTATGCTTTTTTGCCTTCTTTGATGGACCTCTGTTCTCTTTATTTCCTGGTCCAGTGGTAGGTGCGCCCTTGTGCTTGTGAGGGATTCCAGCATCGGAATGTTTCTTGTGTGGCTGCTGTTACAATGTCCCACTCTTTTTCTCATCATCACTGCGGACTCCTATATGGCTGTACTTCTAACGCTTCCTTTTCACTGTGCTGTTTCCTCATGGTCTCCCTTATCTTTGACTCATACCTTGTTTTCCCATGAACCTTCCTTTCTCAGTAGTCGTTACCCTTTGCCCAGCATGGTCTGTGCATGATTCCCTTACGTATATAAACCCTAGTTACCACTTGTATTTTCTCTAACTTGAATCTACTTGGTTCTCCTTGATACTTGAACTCTAGCTCCTTGGGAAGGAGGCTAGCCATTGTCCCATTTGAACCTTAGATCCTGTGGGAGTCTAAGTGATCGCTCCTGAGGGAGGCATTGACTCGATAAGGCTTAGTCCTTGATCGACCCTGATCTTGATTCCTTTATTGGAACAATGCTCTATCCGAGTTTGTAACAGCTGCCAAATGACTTCCCCTGCCAAACGGCGCACATTGAGTGCAGCAGTATGAGCCTTGACCTCTGCTGGGGTCAGAGCACTCCAGTAACATGTCTTGGCCCTCAGCGTATCATGGAGCTTGCGGATTTTGCTGACAGTCCCAATGCTTGAAGGATTGATAAATTTGACAGCCTGGGGCCATCCTACCAGGTGGACTGCATATGTTTCGACAATGGCCATATTGTAGTTGTTGTAATTCATTGTGATGTCCTTTTTGCCTGTTATTACAACTGTAAATATGTCAGACAGCACTCACATGCACTAATGAATGTTGTCACATACCCAGTCCTCAGATGATCAATCTTTGAACTTGCTTTTGGACTGATTCCAAAGAGTCACGTTCATTAAGATCTTGAAAATACTCAATAAGAACAAAATATTATTGTGAGGAGTCAGATAACTTACTTTGATTCTGTGTACATGCCCATTGTTCATATTGTCAGAGAACATCAGCCATCAGAGACTCATAAACGTCCTCCCAGAAGTCTTCAGAATTGTCAGTACCATGCATCATGCTTTGAATAGTGTCATTGATGTGGCCCCAAACAACAAAGAGGGTTCCATAGGTTCCAGTCTGAACATGCAAATCATTGAGCTTTGAAATGAAGATAAGTTCAGTAGAGTACATGTGATAGATGGTGAGCTCACCTCTTTGACGACCCTTTCTGTTGTGGTCAAAACATCTCACACAGCAGCTATGTTATTTGCTCGCACACTACTTACCTTTTTGTTGTGGTGCTCACTTAGAACAGCCACATAGGCAGCCTTCTCATCCCTTGTCAAATCTTGCATGTCAGCATCCTCAGCAACCATTTCATGCAGCTCAGGCAATGTATACCTAGAGCTGTCTTGTTGTAATAGGATGTAAATATAACTACAAGAGAAAGCAAAGTAATTTGGCTTACCATTATTCACCTCCTTAGCTTTGGCATGAATTAATGCATTAGCCAGGGTAACCTTGTGTGCTGTGTGATACTTGGTCTGACTGCTGATCATGTCATTGATATATTTTGGAGTGACATTGTGAGTGAGTGAGAGCAATGCAACTGCATTTTGCTGTTCTTGTAGATGTTTGGCAACAGCATCATGTAAATGCTTCATAATTGCAGTCCTCTGATCCTTCTCGATTTTCTGAGAGGCCTTCTCAGCATCTAACAGCCAAGGTAGTGGAGTCTGGCAATGAAGCATGGGACATGTTGGGTTTTGCGCTGCCCACATGGATGAATTTGCATCATGGGTGAGCTCTGATGGTGCCTCTTCATCAGCAGGTGATGGCACGTGAGAGGACAGTGTGAGTTGATGTGCCTCGGGTGAAACATCAGCAATGACAGGAGTAGGACCATGTGGAAGGGCTGGTCCATCATTGATGGCTGCTAACTCATCTCTCATCAGTGGCATTGTGTATAGTGATGGGTCCTCCCAGTTGATATCACCCAAACATTGGGGTGCATGACTCAATACTGTTTTTTGAAGGTCAGTACTAAGAGTGGGACATGTACATATACAACACTGCACCTCCATTTTCATCGAGGAGTCCTGTGAAATATTCAGGTCCTGTGCCAGCGAAGAAATTTCCATTGGCGTTGAAGTTGTCTTCAGAGAAAATGTAGCTCATAGTAGTTGTCTGTAGGTAGGAATGAGTGTTGTTGTGGGGATGCAATTAGAAAAAAAAGGTGCTTACCTTGAGAACCCAAGCCTATTCCAGGATCAGGACGACATAGTCAAGTCGTTGAAACCCTACAAGAAAATGGCATATGTGAGTCAACAATGGAACAACACAAATAGAAAAAAGGTGCTTACCTTGAGAACCTGAGAATGAGACCCCACAGATTAGGATGACACAATCAGGTCATCCAAACCCTATCAAAAGATGGTATCAGTACTGATTGCTACAGTCGCAATAATCAATTGAAAAACACACAATACGTCTTAGGTTGCCAATTAGAAAAAGAAATGGGCAAATCTAAGGTCTGGAAGCTCTTATATAGATTCAGATTTAGTAATTTTGGGAGGAAGTTTTTTGATTGGGGGCAATAGTGGTAAGTACACACCTCTGCTGGGATAACCTCATTGCAATCTTTTGATCCAACCTGGATGCCAATGGTGTTAGGATAGTTTGGAGGCGATATCTCTGCTGGGATAACCTCATTGCGGTCTTTTGATCCAACCTGGATGCTGATGGTGTTTGGTTGGATAGTTTGGATGCGATAATACACATCTCTGCTGGGATGAGTTTGTCATAATCCTCTGATCCAACTTGAATACTGATGGTGTTTGGATAGTTCCACATATAACATTGGGTGGGGGTGCCAGTAATACACATTTCTACTGGGGAATCCCAAGGTAAGTCACTGTGATTGATTCAATATATGGTCAGACCAGTTGAACTAAGAGAAAGTCTCACGACATATTTTTCCCTCCCCCAAAGCTATGGTAAGTCTTGATTTTTCAACTCAGTTGTATAATACTTAACATGCATTCTAAGGCTCATAAGCAGGATCCTCCTGTTAGTATGAGCAGGCAGTGCTTGGCTACCAAGCGTTGGCTTGCGAAGCCAGGGTAATTTGTTTCTTCTCAAATTCACTGAGATTGTACTTCTGAGACAGCTATTTCAGAGTTCAAGATATGCAAAATGCAAAGGCATGTGTTCGGATGGCCAAGTCAGTCCTGTCACTCTCAGTCTGAAGTCAAAATTTTGTACTTAAACCCAATTAAGCAGGTGGGCTAGGTCAAATCACTTCCATTTACTGATGTCACTTGCTCTTGCTGACCACATCCATAGAAAAAACAAGACACAAGCCCCTCAGGCTGCAGGATGAAATATACACTGTGCCATCCCTTCTGTCACTTTTCCTGTGCTTGAAGGTCTGCATTCTCACAGTACCACTCCTGAGGTCAACAATGGATCTATACTTACCATGGAGAGTGACCTCCCTTGTTCCTGCAATTCGCTAACCCTGCAAGACATCAAGAACATGGCCAACTGCTGGCAAAAGGGGTGGGTTGAGAAGTCTGAGCATTTGTGGGATGGTGCATATGAGAAACTGCTTGAAGGTGTGCAAAAGGAGGGGGAACAAGAGGCTGCCATCTTTCTTGATGATTGTAGTTTACATGCTTGTGAGGAAAGGACACTCCTTGAAAGTATTCAAGACATTATGAACACCAATTGCCCATACTGTAGGGAGTGCCTCAAGTATGATATCATTGTATTGCACGATTTGCTTATTTGTATTGTTTCAGAGGTCAAATTCTTCGAAGTTAAAGTAGCTAACAGTAAAACTAAGTAGTCTGTGACTATACATTAAATGATGTTATATTGAATCAATGGCGAACAAATATTGGATTATATTGGATTGATAGTGAACAGACAATGCATTGATGGCGAATGCATAGTGAATTTGTAGTGAACATGTAGTGAATCCATAGTGAACATATAGTGAATCAATAGTGAATGTTGTCATATCTCTAGAATATCGCACTTGTATAGAAGTCTGAATCAGTCCAAACCACACCAACTGCGAGCAAGGTCAGTATCTGTTATACTGAATGTATGGCGAGTGCAGTGGGCTTCAACAATTGCATGTCACTGGCAAATCATTAACTACAGTTGTGTCAGGATACTACATGTGGACTCTTAAGGTAATGCAGCTGTGCAGTCCAATGTCATTCAGTCATCTGCGTCAATTTCATAATCACACAAAGTAGCTCGCACATATTGTGAACTGAGTATAAAGATTCCATCACTAATGTATTACAAGCAAGGACTACATATGTACATGGTTGATACAGTGTACTACTATGAAAGTATCTAAAGTTCACAGGATGACATCGTCTCCGACAAGTCATCTACCTGAGACCACAGGTCATCTGAGTCAGAGGACAAAGATGGGGAAGGTGGGGATGGAGACACCCAGAAAGGACTGCCTGGAGTTGGGATAGCTTGCAATCTACCTTCATTATATTGAGTGGTATATACTTCAAGCACCTTCTGAAATGAAGGGTACCACTTCTGAATGTTACCACTAACAAAATGGGTGCGCTCAGCCACATCAGCCCTAATATTAGTGTCAATATTATTATTAATGAAAATTTTGATAACACTCACCAGTGGTAAAATATACCAACTTCTTGGCCGACTGTGACCACCCAAAACCCTTCAGGTTCTAAATCAGCACATGGGGGTATGATGTCACTGGGTTTTGGGACTTGTATGGCTGGCATTGAAGGAAGTGCGACATCTGTAGATGATTGTGCATATGATGGTGGACTTGAAGGTGACAGGGAGTCTTGTATATGCAAGCTAGTAGACGAATTGGGTGCAGGAATGGTTCAACTGACATGTGAGGAGTTCATGTGCAATGATTTGGACAGGATGATAGTTTCTTCAATGGTCTTGCGCTTCCATGTAATTGTGTCCAATGCTGAATCTGTTTGAAAGTGAGCATGCAGTTGATTGTCAGATAGTATAGACACACAACCCACCTGATATAGTCATGCCTTCCAGTAATTGGCACAAGTCCCAGACATGATCACTGTGGGAGGTGGCGACAGGTGGCAAAGGAGTGCATGACATGGCAGATATGAGAAACTGAATGAAATGGTTGATTGAAAAAGGGGATAGATGGCAATGTGCACTAATAGCATTTATGATTAGTCACATAACCCAACATCCAAAAAATGTACATACCTGGCTTGTCTGGGGGGGAAAAAAATATGCAGAATCCTGGACATCAAAAATGAGTTTGCACTAACCTTTCCTTGTGGTCTATCCACCACATAGGCTCTTCATGAGGTAAGGATGGGCTTCCCACCAACTGTGTGTCAAAGGTGGTCAAACACAGGGCATTGGTCCTCCAAGCAGCGAGCTGTAAACAGTGGCGGTGTTAAGGTCGCGTGCTCAAGGGGGGTCGGATCACAAGGGCTTGGCCTCAGCTCATATGCTGTGCCCCTTTCCCAAGTATGTGCCCTTAATTTCTGGGGGCTAGAACAGTCGTCCAGAGTTTCTGGGATTTGACTAGGGCGGATAACGGACGTCTGGATATTACCTGGGCAAGCGGATAAGACTAATCCGGATGAAGTCCGGACTAGAAACTAACAGAGGATGGACTACCCTTAAGGTAGAGTCGGAAATATAGTCTAGGATGCAATCCTAAGACTCGGAATATGACAAGAGACTTATCTCGAGTCCAGAGGACACAGGAATGAGCAGGAACTAAGATGATATTCAAACTGAAGTATTTCCGAGAGTTACAGGAGGTTTATATACTGTAGGTATCATATAGGAATCAGTCAGCAAACATAAAGGCTATGTACAAAGCATATGCAAAGTCTATTAGTAAGTAGGATGGATCACAAATAATGAACACCGGAAATGAAATGTATGTAACAGATCAATAATCAAAAGGGAAACATGGTTAACTGGAGTCCAGAGACAGGGGCAGTCTAAATGGAGTTGGGCACTGATATAGGGTTTGGATTCCGGAAGGGAGATAAAGTAGATCAGATCATTTGAGATCCGGATCTTGGATCTGGATATCCGGAGAAGCAGATTTAGAGTTGAGAGTCTGGAATGGCATATGACAGTATCTCCCCCTTTAGGCTGAACCCTTGAGGCACAGGGGGTTGGAAATGAGGGTCTGGAAGAAATGAGTGTGAGACGATGGAGAAGTCGATGGGGGATTCCAGGGGACGGATTTCACAGATATAGTGTTGCCAAAGCGTCCTATTTGATTCTTACCCCCCATATTCTTCCATCAGCTTATTCACTATGTCTGGCAACTCTTCCAACCAATCTAACAAGCCCAAAACTGCCAGGGAGGAACTGGAACTGCGTCAGGCCCGGATGAGGGTGGAATTAGCTGAGGTGGAGACCAACATCTGTCTGGCTGATGAAGCAGAAGTGCGCCAGAAGGCGGAAGAGCTCCGGAGAGTGGAGGAGCAGAAATGTCAGGAGGATGAGGAGAAGAAGCAGAGGGAGTTGGCTGAGATCCGGAAGGAAAGGGCTGAGAAGGCCCGGAAGGTGGAAAAGGTGAGTTTCCTGTGGTCTGGACTGTCCCAGAATTGAAAATGTGCTTATCCTCAGATGAAATATGATCCGGAGGCATGCAGGAACTGTGCGACTAAGAGGAGGGAATGCTGTTGGGTTGAGGCTGGTAGTAGGTCCACTGTAAGTGTCTATTTTCCGGACATCCAGATCTGGTATTTTGACATCCGGACAGATAAAGGCTTGTGATGCCTGATTCCGGACTTCCGCTCTTGCCCTCTAAATGTACTCATATATCTGCATGTATCTCAAAGTAGTGAAATGGGACCAGGTTTGTCTGGGTATGCAGAGTGAAAGTCGGATACTAATTCTGAGGCATTTCCAAGCTCTGTGGCAAGTAGCCAAGATGTTTCCTCATCTGTTCCCTCATATCCAGACCACTGGATGAGGTATAGGAGCTGACAGTGTCGTCTCTGGCGGTCAAGTTTAGAGTCCAGAATTTCGGAAATTTCATACTTGGGCTCTCTGTCAACTTCTACTGGAAGTGGGGGTGCTTGGATGTGATTGGGGATGGTGTTGGGAGTTGTGGGTTCTAACTGGGAGACATGGAAGACGGGGTGGACGGATTTCATGGATTCCAGAAGACGCAGGGTAAAGGAGTGGGATCTGGGACGGGATATGATCTCAAAGGGTCCTAAGTTCTTTTCTGAGAGCTTCTTTGAGGGTCTAGTGGACTGGAAATATTGTGCTTTGACAAAGACTAGATCTCCGACCTTGAAGTCCGGAGCGGGTTTCCGCTTAGCATCTGCAGGGCCCTGATAGTGCTCCTGCACATGGGACATTTCTTCTTGGAGGAATTGATGAAGCTTGTTGAGATCTATAGCATAATCATGGGCATGGGCGGAAGAGAGGTCGCATTCTGGATGGACAGAAATGTTCAGATGGTATCCCTTGTTGGCGAAGAAGGGTGAAACTCCAGTAGTAGCACTTGGAGCATTGTTGTATGCGAATTCCGCCAAGGGTAGTAATTCCGACCAATTATCCTGCTGATAGTTGCAGTAAATCCGGAGGTATTGTTCCAGGGTCTGGTTGGCTCTTTCCGTCTGTCCATCTCCTTCTGGATGATATCCGGATGTGAAGTGGAGAACCATATCCAGTGCTTTCCCTAGGGACCGGAAGAAGTGGGACATGAATTCCATACCTCAATTGGAAGTGACATGGGATGGGACACCGTGCTTAGAGAATACATGGAGTAGGAATAGGTGTACGAGGTCCAGGGAGGTAATGGTGTCATGAGTTGGAACAAATATTGCTTGCTTGGATAGGCAATCTATGATGACAAGGATGGCTGTAAAGCTGATGAGTCTGGAAGTTGTTCTATGAAATCCATGGAAATGGAGTTCCATGGCTTTTCCGGAATAGGGAGCTGTTTGAGCAATCCATAGGGTTTATGTCTCAGAATCTTGGCTCAGGCACAGGTAGTACAGGATCTAACATAGTCCCTGACATAGGTGTGTATTCCGGGCCAGGTATATTCGTATTGGATGAGTTCTAATGTCCGGTTTTGACCAAAATGTCCAGATAGGGGGTGGTCATGAGTATTCCGGAGTACATGAAGTCGTAGATCATTGGATTCCAGAACATATATACGATTGTCACAGCAGAGGAGACCATCAACATCCACCATCCATCTTGGATTTGAGGGTTCTGGAAGATGTATGGAGGCGATAGGGTCATTAGGGAGTGCGGTCAGGATGTCAGTCTGGAGTCATTCTATATCCATTAATACAGCTGCTCTAAGAACCAGAGTTGCTAAGGATGAGGCTTGTAGGGACGAAGCTAGCTGTTCCATAGTGAATACTGGACGGAAATTATGAGGGTTAACTTGAGCATAGTCCTTATCCCCCTCTTTGGGATAGATGTCCCAATGTCTAGTGAGGGAATCCAGTTTAGCTCCAAGTTTTCCTGGGATGGAAGTGGATAATGAGGTTGAACTGATGCAGGAATTCTGACCATCGAGCCTGATGGCAGGAAAGGAGTTTTGTGGTTGCGAAGTACTCAAGGTTTTTGTGGTCCATGACAACATCCACAGGCTTGGAAGAGCCTTCCAGGTAGTGTCGCCAGGTCCAGAAAGCTTCATAAATGGCTAGGAGTTCCTTGTCATGGGTGTCATAGTTGAGTTCTGGAGCGGAAAGCATACGGGAGTAGAATGCTACTGGACGAAGCTCTGAGTCCGGACATACAATGGAAAGTATTCCGGTGATAGCATAATCAGAGGCATCTGTTTCCACAACTATAGGAACGTCCGGCATCCAGTGTGTCAGCACTGGAGCGGAAGTGAAGGCTTTCTTGAGTGTTTCAAAGGATTTCCGGCAGTCCTCGGAAAAGTTCCAAGGGACATTCTTGCGAGTTAACCAGGTGAGTGGGACCACAATATCCGAGTAGTTGAAGATAAATCAACGATAGAAATTTGTGAATCTGAGGAAAGATTGGACATCTTTGACTTTCCGGGGTTCTGGCCAGTCAGTGATAGCTTGGATCTTCTCAGACGACATTGTAAGGCCATCCGGAGATAGGAGGTATCCAGGGTATTCCACAGATGAGGAATGGAATTCGCATTTTTCTGGTTTAGCATATAGGTGATGCTTCCAGAGTTGACGTAGTACTTCTTGGACATGTTCCTTATGGGTTGCAAGATCTTGGGAATAAATGAGGATGTCGTCCAGATACATGACAACGCATACATCCAGCATATCCGCAAAAACACTATTGACAAAGTGTTGGAAAGCTGCTGGGGCATTGGTAAGACCCTCCAGCATAACCAACCATTCATAGGAGCCATAGCGCATCTGGAAAGCAGTTTTCCACTCATCTCCTTCCGCTATCCAGACAAGATGATAGGCGGACCGGAGGTCAATTTTGGTGTAAACTTTAGCGTGGCTTGGAGAGTCTAAGAGGTTGGAAATGAGAGGCAAGGGGTAATGGTCTTTCTTGGTGATCTGGTTGAGGCCTCGGAAATCCACACAAAGTCATAGGGAGCCATCCTTCTTCTTTACAAACAGGACAGGGGCTCCATGCGGAGAGGATGAGGATCGGAGGAGTCCTGGTTGCAATGTTCTCATCAAGGAACTTGCAGAGAGCTGCAAGCTCGACCTGGAGAAAGGGAATAGATAGTTCCGATGGGCGGATT